GGATGGATGGATGATGGATGTATAAATGGTTGGATATTTGATTGATGATGGATGGATGATAGATGGATGGATGGCTGAATGGATGGGTTTTTGATGGATGGATAATGGTTGAATGGATGGATGATGGATGGTTGGTGGATGGATGACAGTTGGATGTACAAAAGGCACAGTCTGATGCTCGTTCAGAGTGTCCCCTGCAGAATGGCCCTTGTGCCCTCGTCACCTCTGAACTCTGAGTCGTTGGGTGTAACTGTTCTTTTCGACAGCTTCTAGTTTGCTGAGCCGACAGAAACAGCCGATGTGAAACACGGAGCCAAACCAGAGAACAAATGACTTCATGTAGCGCAGGAAGAGAAGAGCGGACTGCTTCATTTTATACGAGCGCCACAAATCACGAGCAGGATTTCAGTCATGGCTGTTTCCTGACTGTATGATGGATCATCAGTATGAATGAAGGAAGTCAGCAGGCTCCTTATTGACTGTGTGCAGGGGGACAGGATGACCGCTGGCAATTTGTGCTCATGCCTCTGTTTTCACGTGTCTAGGTTCATCATGGCAGAGCTGATTCAGACAGAAAAGGCCTACGTGCGCGACCTGCGCGAGTGCATGGATGTGAGTTCAGCATCTCCTCACAAAGTGTTTCCAATCAACTCACTTTGATTTCATTGTTTGGGTGATTTTCTATCTTCTCTAATCCGTCAGACGTACCTGTGGGAGATGACCAGTGGAGTTGAGGAGATTCCTCCAGGAATCATCAACAAGGAGCACATCATCTTTGGAAACATGCAAGACCTCTTCGACTTCCACCACAGGTAAGAAGCATGCCCTGCTCATTTATATTTAAGTGTTTTCCTGGTATGAAAAGTATTTTCAAAAAATTAAAAAAACAGTTCATTACCTTCTGCATCTCCTAAAAGTTGAGACAAAATGTGTAGAAGTGCCACAAATGAGCGAAGTGTTTTTCTCTTTGACTGTATCTAAAACATTAACCATGGACGTGTGAGACGTCACCGTGTGGACACAGATTGTTGTCTGCTGCTGGGCCGTCTGTACATCAAGAGAAACGAAACAACTTTCATCCTTTAGCTGACAAAACATCAACACCGTAGGTCCAGCACCGCTGCTGGATCCATCCATCATCCATCCATCCATCCATCCATCCATCCATGCATCCATTCATTCATCCATCAGTCTATTCATGCATCAATCATTCATCATCCATCTTTCCATTCATCCATCCATCATCCATCCATCCATCCATCCATGGATGGATGGATGATTGAATGCATCAATTCATTCATCCGTCAAATTCATCCATCATTCATCATCCATCATCAGTCCATTCAGGCATCAATTCATCCATCCATCCATCCATCCATCCATTCATCAATCCATCTATCCATCATCCATCCATGCATCAATTCATCCATTCATTCATCATCCATTCATTCATCCATCTGTCCATTATCCATTCATCCATTCATTCATGCATCAATTCATCCATCCATCCATCCATCATCAGTCCATTCATGCATCAATTCATC